TAGTACACTTGCAAAATGCAGGCTGCAAACATACTTGACTGGTTTATTTTTCTACGTTGATAGCACGATCTCAATAGAAATGAACTATGCTCAAGTATGTGTACTGGTTTTGTATTGACTCGTGTGCTTGCAGTATTATCGACAGGTGCACTTTTTTTTTTCACTCGAAGTATACTTTGAGTAGGCTGGCCTACTGAATACATATTTTAGTATACAAATTATACATTTAGAGTGTTGCTTTTTACAAAAGGTTCCCGCTTCGCACCTCCTCACTTCCCCTAATAAATTACCAAGAAACTTGAGATTTATGTTTCGGAATGCTCTGTGTTGATGCCTGTCATATACCGGGCAAGGGAGGTGGTCGTCCAGCAGAAACCGTTGTGCATACCTGATGTGCTTAAAAGTATTGCATAAGGATGGGCTTTAACCTCAGGAACTGGTAATTTTAGAATTGTCTACAAGGAACAATAATCTGCTTGGCTCTCGCCTCTTTCTCGGATAATCAGTGGAAGAAAGAGAAATAAAGAGCAATAGAAGCAACATAATCAATGTTCGCTTTATAGGTGGCAAATATTTAAACTTCTTTTGTATTCATTGGCTGCGGCTTCCTCTGGTCTTCGTGGCTTCCGAGTGCTGGCTTTTCAAAATAAACTACAATAAACCACATCAGACTGACGAGCAAAAGAAGTCCAGCAAGTACCCGATACATGACATCGTACTTCCCATGATAATCTCGGAAGTAACCTGAAAAAAATGAAAAAAAGAATACAGTTAGGTGAATTAAGAATCATGCCTTTAATTTATATGACTTGAGTATTTTGAATATTCAAATGCTGACTTCAGGCGAAATTCCGGTTGAAAAATAAATTGTACGCAGGATTTTCATTTATTTTATGTATTACTTTCAGCCATCCTACATCCACGAGTAAAAAATCGAAAACAAACTTTGGACCAAGAATAAAAAAATAGCGTGATTGACTCACTCGCGGTGGCTCAAAACATCGTAAGTTTACGTGAGTATCGGCTACCTCTGACAGGTTGTCACTCGGTACAGCGGCGCTTTTTACGTTCTTGCTGATGGGGTTTATAGACAATACTAAATATAAAAATTTCGCGTTCGGTACTTTCGAAGCAAGAGCAAGTATAAAAGGGAAACTGAAACACGTCTTTCACAAAATGAGGTAAAGGTTGATTCTAGCGTTGTTTTATCGAGTGAACCTAACTGTTGTTTTCCCTGAAGATGTAACTACCCGTGAGAAAACACGACAAACTTTCGGTCACACATCGCGTCATAAGAGTATCTTACGGTCGCCAAGTTCGTTGCTCGTCAGGGCCGCGCGTGCAGTTGCAAGCATGCAAGATATACTCCCTCGCACTGGCACCAGTCGTGACGTCTTTTTCTGCCTTTTCAGTAAATATTAAAAGTGCACGTGCATAGCTTTGATGGGCGCTAAAGCTGCGCGAGAGAGGAGATTCCGAAAACTCCTTTTGTGATACCACGCTCCGGGAAGGAGGGCCTTCAGCGGTACTTTGAAAATAATTTTCTGCAGCCTATATGCACCAAAATAAAATTTTAAGAAGATGATTTCGATATTCGAAATTTTAGAGGTATAATAAAGAAGATATAAGTGCTTTTCTCAAATACAAAACCGCTTCAGCTTCCCTTTAAGAAAGGCGGTGCAAAAGCAATCAGAGGACGCCAAGTGAGGAACGTTTACCGCGGCGTGCGAAGCCTAACCACGTCAAAGGCGACTGTTCGGTCGCTTTGTTTACATGTGTCAGCGTTTCAAAACAGATTTTTTTTTTTTTTTTTAATGTTTACAATTTAAGTGGCTATGCGTCTGCATGCTCATCGATGTGGGACATCGGCGCGTTGGATATCCTTCTAAGTGATGCGATCCACCCCGCTTGTCACGAGTGCGACTGGGAAGGGCAAGGGATATTCATCGTCCTTCAAAATACACCTCGAGAAGAGCGAGCGCATCGAGTGGGTTTCTTCCGGCGTTTACGTAGATACATGGGGTGTCAGATGGAGTCGTGAATAGAAATAAAAGCTACAAAAATGGAAGCTCGGGAAAGTTTTGCCGTCCTTGGACTTGAAAGCCTCTAAACTTCCGCGTTTGAGCACGATTTTCCGCCTGCTAACACCAATGCACCACAATACCTTCACGAGCAAGAAATTTTATGCCGCTGCCGGGAAAACTGTTAGCTGAACCTCGTGCAGACAGAAAGGCTGACGCAAGAATAGCAGCAATGCTGTTTGATGGCACATGGCACAATATGAGCCAGTTAAGTCACAACAAAGAGGAAATCATGGTTTTTAGCTACTCTGGATGATTTAGGGACACCCTATTCATGTCATGCACCAATTTCATGTAATTCGAGGCACTTTTTGAACAGTATACATCTTTTTAGCATTGAAATGCTATTTTTTCGTTGTGCAACTTTGGACAATCTTCTCAACTTGTGCACTCGTTTACCGGTACTTTAAGTGCTTCCTTTATAATTAAACTTTTATCGAAAATGTTGAGAATACGTTGGGTTTGGTTATTAGTTTAGAATTGGTATAACTTAATTACGATTTTGCATATTTTATCTAACCTTTAAAGAGCTTGTACTAAAAAAGAGTTTATTTGTATTTATTTTCCTCTTCTTGATATGTAAATTTTAGGTTGCTTTTGGCTGGTTACTAACATTCTACACTTCATGACAAGCAAAATTAGCTATTCCATCATACTTATTATACAAAATGTCTATGCCCAAATCACTGGACAATAAAAATTTTTATGTAGATGTTTTTGCCTCTGAACACAAAACTATAGAAACTCTATAAGAACTAATATTGTTTATTAAAAGAGAATTCCAAACTATAAAAGATAGTTTCAATATTTTAGAGCAAATATTAAAGAAATAAATGTCTCTGATCCGCATCTTTTCTTTAGCTGAAGAAGACTCTTAAGGCTGGTTAACACATTTGCGTCGACCGCGTTGTGCTGCGTTGCGTCGTGCAAAACTGCGTCTCCCCATTGGCTCGTCGGAAGTGTCGCCATAGCAACAGCTCCACACAAGCAGTCTTAACGAGGCATAAGGGGATGCAGTCAGACTCGAACCCAACAATGTGTGAACGAGCCTTAAGTTTTAGACACAACTCTATAGCATTCACACATGAGCAAGGCAGACGTAATCGTAAAATAACATTCCATACGAAAATGCAATAAGAAGAATCAAGGTAAAATATGCCGCTAAGAAGACATATGTTAATTTCTTATCTATAAAGCGTGAGACAACTGCCATATTGGCACCTATTTTTGTTTGCATTCCTCATGATTCTTTCTTACTTCATAGAAGCAAAATCCAATGCATAGGCCGGCTTACCAAAACGAATTGATATCTGATATAGACGCATTTAGGAGAGGTGACTGGAATTTCTCAAGAAATATTCACTTGTTGCTAACATTCAGCAAAAACATGTATATGGCGCTGGAAAATTAAAATTTCAAGACAATTGCATTTTTTTTTGTTTTCCTTGAAATGCAAACAGCACTGAATAAACCTTATAATGCTAGTAGGCTATAAATATCTGTGTTACAGGTTTTTCTTGAACAAGTGAATTTGTTTCAGGTATATATTTCAGGAATACACCTTTCTTGATGACGACTTCTACTTCATTACCAGGAAAGTGAACAGAAATTACCGCTATTGAAAACTTCAGCTTGTGGGGAACTTGGGGATCCAAATCGTGAACAGGTTGCTGGGATGCCAAATCGGTCATGGTAATTTCTACCGCGAGGGGGCCAGGTGAAATTGGACACGCAAGCAGCGCTCCGCCGCTGATAAAAAGCCTTCGCAGCGTAAGCGCAAGGGCGTTTGGGCTTTTGGCGCGTGGTGATAAGAGCCACTAAATGACTGCGTATTGTTGAACCAGTGCGGTGAGCCATTCTCCGAGGCGGGTAGCAGTAAGAGAATTCCTACAACCAGGAGGTAAGTACAGTGGCTAGAAATATGAGCTGGAAGGCGCGAGTGGCTACCAAGTAGTACAGCTTACCCTGTATAGTGGTCAATGAGCCAAGCGGCGGAGCGGCAGCGGCGGTGCTGAGATTCGTGAATGCACCACCCGCGCGCGATATATCCCTTCTCCGCCGCCCGCATCATAGCGTACGCGTCAGGTGCGCGCTTGTCGCAATGGCGTTCTACTATGCACCGCGGCCACGAGGGCAAGCGCACATCTGATGACGCGCACATCGAAATGAAAAGTAATTGTTGCTATCATATGCGTGGCGGAAGAGGAGGACGGAGGTATCGCGCGCGGGGGATGCGTCCACGAATATGAAGATCCCCGCTGCCGCTCCACCGCTGGGCACGTGGACCGCTAGACTGCTTCGGCTGTACTGCGTGATCGCCGCTCCCGCATTCCAGCTCATATTGCTAGCCACTGTGCCTTTCAAATAAATACTGACATCTGGGGTCGTCAAATGAAAGCCTTTTTTAAGTTCGTTTTAATTCCTGTTTATTGTGTTGTAAAATGTGCATGTTAACACTTTTTTTAAATATTGTAATTGTTTGTTGTATTCATTTTGTTCAAATATAGTGCACTTCATTGCAGAACTTGTTCCATATAAATTATATAATATGGTGTGGTATGTGCTGTTCCCAAGTAGACCATTACTGACTTAAAAACTTTCACTTATTAAACACACATACACTTCCCCATTAGAAAAATGTACGGTGATACAAATTTCTCTTAGAGTGGGACGCTATCGAGGCCCCTCACCTACTAAACAACAAAGTCAAATCTGCTTTAACATATTTAAAAACAAGTTCACCCAGCATTTGGCAAACTTAAACTGTTTGAAATTTAAACCTAACAACGTATATACTTTAACAACAATTTTTACAACAAAACTCCACGCTTCTTATTATAAGCCAGAAGAAAATAACGTCACAACAGAAACAAGACACCCTACCATTGGCCGGATAGTCATAAAACGAAGTTACGTATATTACTTACCAATAAAAAAAGGTTTGGCGAAAAGCAGAGGTCCACACAAAGCACCAGTGAGGCCGTAGCTTACCGGCAGCCTTTTCAAGCCAACATTGTCCGCCATCACAACACCGTGCATGGTCAACGCAGTTCCCAAGAAACAGGAAATTGCCAGAGTTGCAGTCACCAGACTAACATACGAACTCACATCGGGCAATATCAGGACGGCCATTCCCATGAAAAAAAAGTTGCAGGCAACTAGTGTGCTTCGACGCAAGTACTCTTGGTCTGCAAGAAGGGGCAAAAAGAGGCGCCCGAGAAGGTCTGGAATGGCCATGTAGGAGAGCAGATAGACCGCGTCAGGTTTCGAAGCTCCCCTGTCGGTAGCAAAGTCGACGATCGTCGCCGCAAAAATGTCGACATTGTAGCACATGACTAGCCACGAGATGACAATAGTGTAATAAGTCGGGAGACGTAGCAGTTCTGAAACAACTTTCAGTAGGGAAGTTCCCTGTACGGTTAACGCTTCATGGTTGCTTGGAATTTCCTCACACATGTTATTGTTGGGAATGTGCAACTCGTCACATTTTGCCCCTTGCTGCTTACACTGTAACTCACGATTGTTCTTCTGCTGGATATTCAAAATGAGACTGATTGGAAAGGTGTGAAGCAGGACGCCTCCAAACAATAGCAGTGTACTTTGAAAGTCGTAGTGTCTAAGCAAAAAGAGTAGCAACGGCGGGATGACAAACGAAGACAGTGTGGCACCGGCATACATGATTCCATGAGCCATTCCTCTGTATCTCTTGTAGTTGGCACTCAGCTGCACTTGGAGCATCGTCATTATGGTTCCTGAGCCAATTCCTGAAATAATATTAGTCAGTATTGTCAAGTGTTTTTATTACATAGGGGCGAAAAGGGTAATATTAACATGATAAAATTAAGATTTGGCTTTTACTTTTACTTGAGAAGCAACTAGTAAATATTGCCTATTATTTTAAAAATAGCAAGGTCAAGGCTATAAGTACAGCTAAATACAGCTGAACGCATAAAAGTTTGTAAATACCTGAATACTCGCAAGACACTAATTTTCACATATATCTAGAAATGAAAAATTCCCGATATTAAATGGCACGCGAACGTTTTTGAAAAGGTTTGGCAATTTGAAAACCAGTCTTCAATAGCGAACTTTATTTTCATAATTTGGTGTGGATAATATGTCCAAGAGATTCCACATTTGAAATACACCGCAGCACAAACATTCGCCATAACCGCGTTTCTCAAATTCAATATGGGCAGTGTCAGGCTTATCATGAAGCAAACGCCACACTTCAACCACCCAGCATGCAGTGGCTTCATCGATGAAGTCGCCGAGCTTACTACTGTTTTCTTCCTTATTTGTCAACTTACTCGCAATGGTATTAGCATTTCAAGACGTGAACTTTTCATCTCAGACTTTCATGTGCTATTGAAGTCAGATATGAGGGTCTGCAAATGGCTTGTGCACGCGGCCGGCATGAACGCTTAAAAAATAGAACTATCTCCTTTCGATGAGCAACGAACAAGTCGAGCATACAGAGAGCCTCGGCGTTAGGGAGTAGTCCGAGATTATTTCTTTGCTCGTGCACGTATAGTATTATGATGGTGTCGATGTACCTCTGCATTGTTTCGACCGTGCTTCAGTGGCTCGAGGAATGCTAGATGTCCCAAGTGTCTAAAAAATCTATCTGAATGACGTCTTGTTTTCTCTGTGTACTGGGGTGTCAATACGGACTCTCCCAGAGCAATTGCAACTAGAACAGTAATTTCTCTCTTGTCGTTACGACCCCATCACGGAGATTTGCTGAGATCTTCCTTGTTCAAGAGTTAAGACACGTACCGGCACTAGCTTGAAACCAGTTGGTTTCAGGTAATGACCATGTGTTCCAGACTTTTATATATTGGGAACTTCTCCGATAGTAAAAAAAAATGGAAGCTATTTACAACTCCCTGTAACGCCGAATTAGAGCGCAGCTCTTGAGGAAGAGTAGGGAAGGGTACTGGAGGGGGGGGGGGGATCATGTGACCTCGGGGAGGGGGGGGGGTCATGTGACCTCGTGGGGGGATCACGTGACCTGGGGGTGTCACGTGACCCACCAGAGAAATTTTTCCGCTAGATTTAGCAGGGAAAATTTTCCGCTAGATTTAGCGGAGAAATTTTTGCGCTAAATTTAGCGGGGAAATTTTTTCGCTGCGATTTAGTGGGGAAATTTTCTCGCTAGATCTAGTGGGGAAATTTTTTCGCTAGATTTAGCGGGGAAATTTTTCCGCTAAATTCAGCGGGGACATTTACACATAATGCCGGAAACTGGCTCCTAAGAGCTGCGCTCTAAAACTCGCTCTTGATATATAAAGTCGGTTAGATCTTTCTGGCAGTACGCGTAGTTTTTCTAGGAATGAGATTCTTTCTGCTCATACTAGATTCGGCCCACATTTGGTAAAGTGTCAACGAGCCACCGTTCTCAGGAAGCTTACTGGGCTGCTTCATTGTTACGATTCTCCAGCCAGGGGCAATGAGGACCGCCTTATAAATAATTACTCCCTTTTCTCGAAGCTCATGAATGTGATCTTTCAACTCCTGATCCAAACGGCCCAACTTCAGCTTTCTTTCCCGTGCTACATGCGACAGCACCTCAAGGGAAGACTTGCTCATTTGAATTGACGTATGTACGAATCTCTCTTAGAGCGAACAATGCTTTCACTCAGACGGTGACCCCGAAACCCTTGTCATCTTGATTGAGGTTGCTGTGTTACGTTGCTCTGTTGCAAGACGGATGACTTTGCTCGCGTCGTCTCGTCATACTGCCAGTAAGTTTTTCTACGTTCGCTTAGATTTGTGTCTGGTTGAACGCATTGCGCTACAAGGCTTTTGGCGGATACGTATGCTTCTTGGCCAGAAGGCTTCGCGTAAGACTGAGTTTCTGGAAGTGAGATTCTCACATTTGCAGGACTGAACCACCGGTAAAACCTCATTTCCAGTCCTGATCGATTCACTGGCAGTTATAAATTGTAATAGGAAGAGTGCGTCACTCTTCTCAGCGACAAAAATGTAGTGAAGAATCCTAAAAAAAAAAAGAAAACGGTAGAGCCAATTGTTATCTTTGAATGCGCTTAGCTCTAAAGATTTGCAGAGAATTAATTCCTTCATTGATGATTAGCGATGCTTCTTTATTTGGAGCTTCGGATGTGACAAGTCTTACTGGCGTAACTTCTTCGACTGCTTTAAGTTTTGGTGGTAGCGCAAACATTGGTTCCTATTAAGCACATGTATAGCCTGAGTTGAAAGAATGATGTCCATGGTTGCCTGGACTGGGGATCGCCTTGAGCGTTGCAAAACATTGGTTTATTCATTGGATGTGTTTGTCGTGGCTTTAGCGATTTCTTTCTCGCTGCTTGCGGTACTGCCATTCAAAAAGTCATTAAGCTTCCCAAGACTGAGGTGAATTTTCAATATGTAGGACTGTCTAATTTTGTGTAACATGGAGGTTCCTGACCAATCCAGTGAAGTCCTAAAGCATGTAATGATATGCTTCCAACAAAGCTGCCTGGGTTTCACATATGAATTCCCCATACATAACATAAGGTTCCAGATTGTACCCTAGAATTTACGGTTGGACACGTATGGGTGAGAAACCAAGCCAGATCATATAAAAAGTTTCTCCCATTTGACTCCTGACGTTAAGAACACTTTAAACCAGGGTGTCTACCACAGCTATAACATCTACCCTTAAAACGTCATGCCCCAATCAGGTTAAACTAAGCTTTGTTAAAAATATCTACATTCTAAAAAAAAGGTGTAAAAGGGTGTATCCTTACACCCTTTGTCCCATATAATGCACCCCATAACTTCATTTCGACGTGCAGCGCCCTATAGTCGAACAGACGGCCCCGAATTTTACGAGGGGCTTGAGAACGGTGCGATATAACTTATTAAATAGCTAAAGCACGTATCAAAGACCACATAAAGAAAACACCGAGTTTTTACAGTAGGGCCAAGAAAACCCCGATTATTTTTTTTTGTAGTCAGTAAAACGTACATTAGCTATTTTAATAAGTTGTACCAAACGGCTATCAAGCCACTCGTAAACTTTAGGGCCGTCTGTTCGATTATAGGATGCTGTACGTCGAATTGAAGTTTTGGGGTGTATTACATGGGACAAAGAGTGTAACGACACACCCTTTTTTCTTGAGAGTGTAGACTATAGGCAGCTGAATAACCAGTAGATTATTGGTATCAAATTCTAAATATATCTGGAAGGCCACCAACCAAAAACCTGAGAGCACTAACCAATCGAAAAAGTAATCTCGACAACATATAGTGTTTAAGCTCTCCATCTACGGCCTTTACCACGGATTAAAGAAGACTGGAGTAATTTAAGGCATCCAGGGTGTTGCGTTCTGTGTCGAACAAGGAAGATACCAAGTGCCGTCATTAAACCAAGGGCCAAACAAGGAGGGAGAAGTGTATGGCACCGCTCACAAAACGAAGTACTCCATATGTGAGAAAGAAGTTATATATAACATTCTATTAAACTGTGGGATATCTTATATAGACCAAACTGGTCGGTGCATTAATGAACTAACGCGTTGGCATGCAGCTTTAGTGAAAAGCATATCTGCAGGAGGGCAGCTACCAGTTCATTGTCGAGAGTGACAATGCATGGCAAGGTTTAATAACATCAACATCGTTGGAAGGAAGAGAGGCACGCTTGCGCGTCAACTATTTGAGGCGCTGGCCATTAAATAAAAGCCTGAGGGTTATTAGTGCACCATCAGTCTCGCTACATAAAAAAGAAAAAAAAAGTTTTTATGAAGGAAATATTTTTGGGGTATATGAAGAAGTTCCGCGTTTTAAGCACTTCAAACCGGAGTATAGGGAACCAAGGTGGAGGAAGAACAATAAGGTTCTTAATAATATACAGTATATAGTCCAGCGTTCACTTGCCTTTCTATATATCTATATACGTTCAACTGGTTTTATCCGTAAGCATCACCCAACTATCTCAGCTCTAAGCCGTGTAGGCTATGAATTATATGCGTTTTCTGAACTTGTGTGTCGACTGCCTTAAAGACAGGATTCTAGCTTTACATACAGCGGTTCACCTTATAGGTAGTTTATTTTATAAGTGTCTTTTTCATTTGCATTTTACTTTAAACGCTTAGTCGCGACTACTCAATTTTTAAAGAAAGCATGGGGACGTGTTATCTACTCTCATCCAAGGCAAAGAAAATTTCACTTTATTTAAATGTACGTTGACCTGTCCATTACACAGCGGGTAGTTTATTCTCATATGTCCGACTATGCATTATCAAACGAAGTGGGCGGAGCTGAAATACGGCGGAGAGAAAGGACCTTATGACTTGCGTGTGGTAAAACGAGGAAAATGCGAATATCTGTCACCTGTCAAAGGCCATCTTCCTTTTTAGAAGAGCAGGTAATCAATAACGTGCCAACAATATTTTCAAAATATTTCATGATACGAGACTTGTGCGGTACTCATGGGAAGTAATCAAATTACTTGTAATCGCTTAATTTTTCAGTAATTTGGCAAATATATTATTACTTTTATTCGGTAGTAATCACAACACAATTTAGTCACTTAAAATCACTCGTAACCATTACCATCTGTTCATTCGTCTCCCCTGCTTTTTAAAGCTTACGACTTCTATGTCACCTCAGTTTGAACAAAAACTGCTCCAATATGTCCACTTCATAAGCCTCTAAATCTTGTGAACAACAAATGATAAAACGATTATCATCAAGCTGAACGAAAGAAGGTTAATATATCATCTGTGTTTTTATTC